TGCTCACCCCTGTGTGTGAGACTATGGTATAGACACCGCAGCAGTGGGCAGCAAAGCATTATTAAAAACCATGTATCAGGGATGTTGCCTCTTGTCCCTGACTTGTAAAGGGGGATTAGTAAATGTAGCATAAGCAGAGGCTCTGATTAAAGCTTATGGAGCCATGGCGAGACAAAGACAGACCACCCCCCCCCCTTCCACAAAAAAAACAACAACTCCAAATCACTGACTGACAAGCACATACCCTCAGACAATACAGATATTTGAAGGCTGAATTCTGTTTCCATGGCAGTGTGGAGGAGGATGACGAGTGAAAAGCACATGCAAAAAGCCGGCGTGTCTTGAGTGTTTACTGTGTACACTGAGACGCACAAGAGCATTTGTAAGTGTGCGCGGGGAGGGCGTGCATGACGGAGGGAGTGCAGGAATGGATTGAGATGGGTGGCTGCCACTAAAAGGCAGGATATTCTTTTAATTTTTTAAACATTTTTTGTGTGGATGGAAATATGAAACAGCATATCAGATGGTCCCCGCTGCAGGAGGATTGAATCTTTCTATCAATCTTTCTTCTCTCCATCCCTCTCATATTTCCACCTGCAGAGAAAAAGAGAGGCAGGCATCTGTTTGTCTGCGTTGTGGGTCTCAGTCCCAGCCCGGCAGCCCACATCTATTCCTCCTGACAGCCCTCTATGAACAGTTACAGCAGGGTAATGTTTCTACAGCTTTTCAGGCACAGGCATTGTGTGGCTATGTCTCAGTCTTCTAACCAGGCATTCCTCTGTATTAATACACAGACAGGCTCCACACAGCATGCTTTAGAGGCAACATATCAACATCAGTAGCTAACAAAAGTATGACCATTTATTTCAGTCATTTCCGTGTGGCATTCTAGTGGGTATACGAAAAAACTACAATGGCTTGCAATGAGAGGGCTTCCACCTCCTGCTCTCAGGCATTATATTGCCTACGTTCGTCAAATGGGAGTGTACCAAACGATTGTAAATAGCAGCTAAATGATTGCTTTTTTTCTCTCTCTTTCAATCAAACCTTTGGCGAGGAAAAAAAATCTACTCTGGAGCCTTCCTTATTTGCTTAATCCATTCCCCAGGGAACTCTCTGTGATGAAGGATGTCTGCATTTGGTTAGCGGCTTCCTCCGATTCTGCAGCACCTTATCCTGGCTCCTTACACATTCATGCTGTTTGTTCCAAGCCGCTGCTTAGGGAATACCTCCACTGCTTGTGCTTGCAAAACAGAAAGAAAAGGAGAAGAGCCAGATATAGGAGAAGGGGGGAAAATGAATTCAAAGTTGTTGCCCTCCTCCTTCGTCTTTTCTCCACCTCCATGTAAAGTAGAGCCTTGTGTGCAACATAAGCCGTGATGGTTTCCCCTCAGGCTCATCTCCCTTTTGCCGTGGCGTACACAGCGCTGCTTTATTACACATAGTCCTGCAGGCTGTAGCCTGTCTTATTGTCTAATGGGGAGAGAGAGCAGTACTGGTGCTGGAGCTCCTGCTGCTGCTGAAGCAGCTGTTGCTGCTGCTGCTGGAGGAGCAGTTTGTCAGGGGGCGGCAGTAGGACCAGGTCCTGGGGGCCATGTCGCTTTCCTGAACAGGACATACAGAAGATGGACCCCCCAACAAAGAGGAATCCTGCTGAAACAAAGGCAACATACACAGCACCCCCAGGCTCAAACTTATTGCTCTCGGGCACACTGGAGTCCAGAAAGTTGGTGATGACCTCGTTGGTAAACCAGGAAGCAGGAACCAGACACAGAAACCCTGCGGCAACAAAGCAGCCACCGCTTGCGATTGCAGCGTGTCGCTTGGAGCGTCGTCCACCTCCCCAACGTGTGCATTTTAGTCCCAGGGATGCGAGGCAGAGGCCCATGGCAGCCAGTACGCAGCACAGCACCATGGTGGTGCGGGCAGTCTGCAAGTACGCAGGTAGTGAAAGCACGGAATACTTGAGTGTGCAACTGAACATGCCTGTGCTGTACCATGTGCAGTCCATCCACAGTCCCTGCATCTGGGAGATCGCTGTGATGATGTTAGAACCCACGTCTGCGCTGACCTTCCAGTTGGGAAGCACGGTGGCCACCATGGCACCCATGATGCCCAACAGAGCCAGGACAAATCCAAATATCTGCATGCCTGTGGATGCCATACTCCTTTTTAAAAGTGGATGCTGCTGCTGCTGCTGCTGCTGCTGCTGCCGCCTCCTCAGCCGCTGTCCTCGCTTGGCAGCATTCACCCAGCGCCAGCCAGGCTCGTCGACCCCACTGCCCCAGCCGCCTCTCTCTTCTTCTCTTGGTGGTGGTGTGTACCAGCTGCCAGTCAAATCCCCCAGCTCCTCAGTTCTTCAGCCGCAGCTCCACTGGACTGGAGGAGAGTGACGGAAATGAGAAACTGAAGTGAGCGGGTCTCCTTCCACTCCCTCCTCTCTCCCCCTCATTCACCCTCATACAAGCGCAGACTTTTTTCTGACTGGAAACAAAGGGGGAGCATGAGGCAGGGGCGATCAGAGCTGGCTCTATGGCTGACTACAGGTAAGCAAAAACACCGGGGCTGGCTGTGCATGTGCTTGCTGCCTTCTCCTTTCGCCTACCCGGCGCCCCATAGAGGTGTTATTGGAGAGGGAGAAATTAGTTTGTGGTATTTGCAATGCTCAATAGCTATGTGGACTTAAAGCTGCAGCGCACTCAGTTCTCTCACATACTGTATGTTGTAGCACTTTGACTCTACTGCTGTTCATCCAACAAACTGAGCCTGCTTTTTAACAATCATACCTGCTTATCCTCTGGTTGATCACTGGTTGTGGTTTAGTGGGCCGCTAGAATTATACTTGTGAATGTACAGCTCTTTTTTTAATTATCATTTTGTCTGACTTTCTACATTGTGATCGGTCTAGTCTTGGCTAAATAGATGGTTACAGCTTAGAATGAATAACCTGGAAAATTTGTCTGAGTGATTGCTATTGCTTTATGGTGCGATGGGAGGGAGAGAGGGGAGAAAGAAAGCGATGTTGGAATGATCTCTTACCCCGGCTGGTGCAGAGCTGGCTCTGACGCGTCACGCTGTTCGCAGTGATTCCTGTAAACACACACAGTCACACACCGACACACAGCAGCAGCAGTGGGCCAACGAGGGGGGCGAGCGGGAGGATTGAGCCCGAGCCACGGATCCATTCAAGTCCATTTCCTTAGCAACAGTGTCTGAGAGGAGGACATCCCATCTTCACCTACACACACTCACACACACATGGACAGACCACACACACTCAGCACGAGCCAGAGAGAAATGAAGCAGAGCGCAAGAGCCTGTCTCTTTCTCTCTCTCTCTCTCTCTCTCTCTCTCTCTCTCTCTCTCCCTCCCTCCCTCCCCCTCGCTCTCTCTCTCTCTCTCGCCTGTGTGTGTGTTTGTGTCTTGTCTGCCTCGACACTACAACTTCAGAAACAACAGTTATAGCGGATATAGCTAAAAGAATAGGTCATTTCAAAAGTCACCTTTTCAAATACAGCTTTAAGAGCCAGTTTACAAGATGTCATCAGCTTGTCACCAACATTTAAAAAATGGTTTCACAATCTTCTTTACGGACAGAGAATGACAAACAGCACAACAGTTTACAAATCTGAGGTTGATCAATCATGTGTGCCGCATTGTGCTTACTCAATGTAACACAATGCAATTATTGATATTGTTTTATTGCCCAGCCATATAGACTACCTAACCTATCACTATCTTCTTCAGCCAGCTTGTGTTTATATTCAAGGTAAATTTAGTTGTATTAGAATTATGCTGATTCTTGTCTGTGTGTAAAATAAAATATTTAAACAAATGCAGTGCATTGTATAGTGATTAGTTGATTTCTAGTAAACATTTTTATCAATCTGGAGAATTGAGGTTTGTGGAAGTAAAACAATAAAATCTAAATAAATGAATTGTATACAGAATAAAGAAGAATAAATAAAATGACTGGAGTTTGCTCGAATAATACTGACATGCCTCCTCAGCGTTTATGGAGAAAACTCCTTTGTACTGTAATGTAAAATTACTAACCCACATAGGAACCCCACCCCGTCCCTGCATTGAGCTGCCCAGTAATCATAACACAGTACTGGAGCTGTATGAAGATAAGAAATTGCCAAGATGCAAAGTTGGATAAGATTTCCAAACATAGCCCCACTACACAACTGGGAGGAGTAATCTAATTAAGACAAGAAGAAGTAAAGCTGCTATCGTTACGACCAGATAGTGTTCTACAAAGCTTTGTTTGTTTGTGTTGGTCGAGAAGAGCATGAGTACCCCACCATGCCAAAAATTGACCCTCCCTGGGGCGTCATCTTCATCAAGCATCTGTCAGCAGGAGGCTAAAACTCCCAGCTGCTACCCTATCTTACCCCATCTTCCCTCTTCTCTCTGTAGAGGGCATACAAAACAAGGGAGGGAGTGGCTAGCATGGCCTTGATTCTTGAATGACAAAGAGGACAAAACAGGAGAGAGGGGGAAAAATTTAGACCGGACTAATAACCTTGGAAATGCAGAAGTGTGTTGCTATTATTTTGCTGCATGAGCAAATAAAAAAAAAACAGCCAGCTGTGGGAAATAATCTTGCCTACCCACCCGCTCGCAATCTAATGTCCAGGCATTGACCACGTTGATGTGTAGCCATTACATGTAGATAGGGTTGGTAGCAATTGATTTGTTTAGCTATTGATCTGTTTGTTTAATATGGCCTAGTGCTCGCTCCAGCCTTAGTTGTTACTACCCCTCAGAGACCCCTTTCTTAAAATGAGATCTGGCCAGCATGTAGAAATGGTGCACACCTTCCAGTGTGATGCTATTGTCGACCTTCAATGCTACATTCTCAGACCTCCTCCTGGGATACCTCCGCAGCAGGAAGAGGAGAATTTTCCCCCTTGTTTTTTGAAGACACACTACAGTATGGCGTGTGACCTATCTCCTTGTAACTGATGAGATCCTAAGTGCTGATGCTGGTGTTGTTCTGTGGGGAGCAAGATAAATAAATAAATAGACTATAGAGGGATGGGATGAAAGGAGGAGGGGGATAAAAAAGATGGAAGGAGAGAAGAGCAAAATGCAGCTAACATACACCCGGTGAGTGCAGACGTGTGACGCTGTGATGTGTGAAGATATTGCAGACTAATATAAGCGAGGTCCCCTTTTCTTTTATCACCTCGCAGCAGAGCACCCATTCTGCAGCACAGCTCTTGAGGCACAGCCGGACCAGCCACGCTTTTCTTTTTGCCCACATTAGAGGTTTTTTTTATCTTTCCATTTGCATTTCTTTCTTTTATGCGCTCCCTTTGCATAATTGGTTTTTGCGCCCATCATCTCGCAAAAGCGGTTTGTTCACAGCGGTGATGCAAGGTGTCGTGTCATCGCTGTGATGTGGCTGTCAATGTAATCTTGTTGTGGAGCAGGGCCCGGGTTCAGTTTCACCACACATAATGGGTGTGAACCTGTCTCAGGCAAAACAGTTGTGACATGTCGTAAAATTACCGGCATTAGCTCGATGAAACAGTCTCATGTTACTCACTTAAGTCTCCCTAGTGAACATTGTGAAATGGCATTTATGAGTTTTTAAATATCCCATAAAAAGTATTTTTTCCCTTGTTGCCCTTGTTTTCTTTTCCACTTGTCCAGGATATTTCACATTTTTTGGGCATAATTCAGGCTTTTCTATGACGAAAGCATCTCTCCCAGGAGCTGCTCTTGTCAAAGACCAGGGTGACAGGCTTGAATGTCCTGTGTGCATGCCGGGGGCGATTTCATGGGAAGTATGCCAAAGCCTTTCCTCCCCAAACCCCTCAAGTAACATCAGCATGGTGGGTTCAGTGGCATTGACTGTTGCCTCCTCCTCTCTGAGAGGCTGTCTCCCTCCACTGATGTAATGGAGGATGTCTTCTCAAGGTATTGTCATAATTAATGCAACTCTTCCCCCCTTGGTTGTGAGCTCTCTTGCATTCCCAGGCCATATATAGCTTTCTTCCATCCCCCCCCTCTTGGTCTTTCTTAGAACCTGCCATTATGTAAGCGCAAGTGTCGGTGGTTCAGGTAGCGCAGTGGCTGGTGCCCCAGGGCCCCTGCCATCTCATCTTGGTTACGCTTAAAGGGACATGACAAATTACTGCTCACATGCCATTGGGCAAGAACTCACCAAGAAAGAGACATTGGAGGTGGGAATGGGAAGCTGGGAGAACCACAGGGCAAAGCTGGGGTAATAGAGTTCCCTATTGAGCTTTGGGAAGGTCAAACACAAGAAATATGGTAATGCCCAAGATGGATGAGTATTGTGCTCAGCTGGGTCAGAAAAAGACTTGAGTTGCGGACAAAAGTGGTTATGTGACTTTAAGATTGAGATCTGTTCCATTTTGCCTTTTTCAAGCTCCACTTGGCTATTCAGCAGAATAATACATTTTTACAGAAGACTGGCCAGTGACTACATTTACATGGACACCAGTATTCTGACTATTGACCTTATTAATAATAAGACATTATTTCGACTATGGAGTTTACATGACTTGCTCATAGAATTTTACCTTCATATTCCTGTTTACATGTTATGGAGCATTGCCTGATTATGACCGCCAGTTGTAAAACCCCAACCGGAAATTTCTGAATGTGCAATGCTGCCGTATACAATTTTGTTGTTTTCTTTCTAATTTTGCTTAAGGTACAGCCTTTTATTTTTCCATCTTGTTTACACCTGGAGCATATGTCTTCAAGTAGTTTTTAACTGCCATGTATGGATGTCGCAAAATGCTGTGGAAACTACATGCGGTCAAGACGTAACCATGTCTACATTGTGCAACTAAGATTACTCCATATGTTTAATTTGATTCTTGCTCAGGTTAAGATATCAGAAAATGCAGTTTACATGACAGTGTCTTCAGACTATTGGCTTAAACAGGCTCAGATTATTGGTGTCTCTGTCGGTTTGTCAAATTGGCAGGTTCACAGTCCATGTGAATGTTGGAGGTCTTCATTTTACAAAGCTCTGATGAAATTAGCTGGATTGCGAGAGTCGGAGCAAGAGGAATTATCATGAGCTTGTCTATAGATCCTTACGTAACAGTCTAATTTTGTGGCCAAATTAGTGGTAATGATTCACTCGCTAAACACGATTGCTTGCTCAAGCCCACAAGAAATTATTACCATCAGAGCATTTCTAGCCTCTGTCTGCTTTATGATCGTACTGCCACCCTCGTAAAGAGAAGGGGAGGGGAGGGGGTGAGAGAAACGAGTCTGCACTGGGGGGGGGGGTATTAAGCTTGTCAAATAGAGTCAATAAGTCAGTCTGCCACCCCAGTTCAGAGTATTTTAGGGGTTTTGTAGGGGGAGGGGTCGATGGGTGAAGGCATGTTTCCTCGCAGCTTGGTGGAGGGCCCAGGTGACACCGTGTGATTTAAGATGGAGTTTCCTTGCATGTTGAGGTTATCAGGGGGAGGATTAATGGCAGCGAGTGGGATATATTACAGTGGTGCTGCCTAGTGAAGCCGTGTAGCAAGGCCATACATAAATCATAACAGCAAAGTGACTTGGACAAGCTGATGGCTGAAATGCTGTTGCCCGTATAGTCCCAATATCGACTTTTCCCCGTGCTCCTCCTAAATCATGAAGTGCGGAATATAAATGGCCTAATTATTCCAGCAGAGAGTGAAATTAAAGGCATTCCTTTTTATTGCTCCTTTCTAACAGATGGTGGTCTGATCTTGCATCACCAAAGCACAGAGAGAAGCAAATCCAGATAGAAAATCCCCGACCAAAATCCTGTGCATGTTGGCGTGACAGGTGGAGGAATTGAATTGTCACAACACGAAACTCGGTTCCAAATCAAATGATGCAGCTTCTACAAATAAACGACAAATAAATCTCTCAATTTAAGACTGTGTTTAACAAGACAAAAATCTATATCAAAATGAAGCAGCAGATCATCTTTAAAGCTGCACATGCACACTTCTCTGCTTTATTTGCACATATACCTTCAGGGCTGTTGAGACACTTTCCACCACTCCACTGCTGTCCCATTAAACGCTACTGCGGAAGGAAACTCAGCAGCATTCACCCATCCCTGGACTACACAGGGATCTATAGATGTGATAAGAGATAGTGCGGCGGTTTACACTCCTGAGCGCTGCCTGTAGTTGTTCACTGAGGAGGAGGGAATCTAAACAGCTCATTAGAAATCCTTCGCACACCCTCGGACCACTTTATTTTTTCCTCCCCTAATTATCAACGCTAGCCCC